CTGATTGCAATTCACTGAAAAGCATCCACAAGCCGGAGTTTGGCCAGGTCAGGAATGTTCACTTAGAGCGCGATTACCGCAACGCTGGCAGCACGACTCTGTAGTTAGGGATTTAATCCAGCCCTTGCCCGGGGGTCAGCTCACCACAGTTGCGCGATCATTGAAGCTTAAGGTTAAGTTTGGGTTTAGACTTAGGTTATCTTATGCTTACACATTGGCTTATGCCTAAGCCTATGATTGGGCCTAGGCTTAGTCCTAAGCTTGCTCCGAGCGAATGAACGGCGTCTCAATTTTAGGTGACCTGACCCCAGGAGGAGAAACGCTACGCACCCAGGCGAGAAAGGTGTATGCCGTTCCAGTGCAATGCAAGTGAGACGGGCAGGCCGATTATTTGAGTACGGTAGAATGTAAGTACGTGGGGCGCTGCCCGCTGTGATGGCGCCAGAAGAATCGAGGTACTTCGTGAGCCAGGGGAGTGCAGCCAATTCTGGGGTGGGGGTGAGGACAGGCACTGGACAAGCGTAAAAAACTGTAATTTGTGAGCTACTTCCATAGCGTCTCGTCGCGTTATTGCATGAGCACCAGTCCTCACGTACCGTACTCTTAAATCATGTGCCCTTCCCATTAATATTGAACCGCCGTTCCTTCTTGCTGTCGTCGAAAGGGCTATTTTTGGAATAAATTGCTAGTAGAGGAATGTTCCCTAGAAGAAATTATATGCCTGCTATAATGGGGGGAGGGAGGGGGAATGTAGGCGATATGATCATATTTGGCAGCAAAATGCACTCTCATAGCAAATTAATAAAATTCCACCATTTAGCTCACACCGTCGAACTCTGCTCCGCCTCCAAGTGGTTGCACAGCCGCTGGCCTTTGTCCGTCTGCGCCCCAGCTGTTGTAGCAGAGAGGCAGCGTACGGTTCCACCTTCCGTGGAATATTGTCCAGCGCGCAAAATCAACAGGCAATACAAACTTTACATTTCGCAGGTTTTTGGCCTATTCTCTTAGTTCGTCCTTCACTGCAGCATCTCTAGCAACACAACTTCAATTTTAGATGAACAACCAAATTAAAGTGCCCACTGCCTTTAAAGCAGCCTTAGCTGCAAGAACTTTACAACAGAGAAAAAATTTTTTAAAGAGCATTTCCTCTTTACTTCAAATACAGAGGTCCAATGGATCGGGACAGAAAATGGTGAAAGTCAGCGACGGAAGCAACTTTATAATCGGAGGTCTGAAAATTAATCGATTGGTGCAGCTTAATCGATCCGTTTGGTCAATTAACATACCCTCGCCTTCAAATGACCAGAAATTGTGCAATTGCAGAAATTGACGTGGCATTAACGTGGCATCGATTCAAGAACATCTTTGAGCACACGTGATGTCACCTTTTCATCGAGTTTAGCCACGTGTGCCAATGCCACGTCAATTTCTGCAATTGCACAATTTCTGGTCATTTGAAGGCGAGGGTAGTATCTTCTGTTTTGGCTGACAGCGTAAGTTTGGTTTTGTCGCTGTTTTGGCAGATTGAGTACTTGTATCAGTTTTTTGCGAGATTACGTTTTTGCGTTTGTATTGCATGATGCGTTAACGAGATTTATTTTGAAATGGATGGTCTATTTTCAGATAAGAGCAACCGTAGACGGTAAAGTTACGGTTGAGAGAAGCAGGATTATCGTCGTACTCTGCGTCTCTTACCACCGAAAAGCTTGTCCGGAGATTCGATAAGCTACTGGGCAGTTGATATCTGTGTGGATTCGAATGTCTCGGAATGCACGTATGTAATCTTTCATGTTAGGGGTCTCGTTGAGATTAATTGCGCGTTCGAGGCTATTCCGAGTAAAGGGAGGGCATTGTGGGTTTGAAACTGGATGCACCCATTTTCACAACGAGGCTTTTACTGATTTTTTTGGGCGAGTGGTTTGTTTTAGGATGACGTGAAAGAACTAAGTGAAGAATTTTTAAAGGGCTAAGGCAGTTTAATGCCTAATCAAGGGAGATGAAATGCCTTCGCAACTCAGAGTTTTTATCTTCCCCCAACAGGGTCAACCGTCGAGGTGGTTATTTTTTGAAAATTGTGCGGTCCGCCACCCCCCCCCCCTCCTTACGGAGGTATCGATGCGACCTCCCCTTTCAAGGAATTACAAATACGACCCACTCGTTCAAATAGTGCAAATGGACGGTTGACCCTGCCCCCCCTCTCCTACAATCTAGGCTCAGTCCTTAACGTCTACGATAAAAGAAAATGCCTGTCCAGGCTTCGAACTCGTTCGCAACCGCAATGCCCCTTCTTATTGGGCTAGACCCCAGCGTTATTTTTTGAAGCAATTCTAGTAAAACAAAGTAGCCTGGGGCTTGTAGGGAGCCGCTGATCGCTCCCCTTCGAAGCAGGTCTACGCATTCAACCATCGCGCCACCGAAAACCATGAGTGAGTGTCATTAGGTTCTCCTTTAAGGTTGAAGTCCTGGCGCGGTGTTGCTTTACAAAACCTGCTTATATCGAAAACTGATAGCAATTAATAATTTCGTGACGTATGGCTTCAACTTATCCCCTTCTTAGTTAAAGATGGCTAATTTTAACACCTGATGGGCGCTCGAGAATCGGACCTAACGGCACACACTTGGGAGACCTCTCATTTCGGGGGTTTTCAGGGGAACAGGAAGTTCGCATGTGTTAGGGAACAAATACTAAATAAGATGACTTGATTTTAGGACCTGACCATGAGAACACCACGGCTTCGCTCGTGCTTGGGTAGAATGCGAATTCTGCGAAGGAACCCAACCTTACGTTGATGTTAATGCCTACTGTCATCAGACCGTTATCTTATCAGGTAACTTCCTAACAGCATTCCTTCCGAAAAATCAACCCTACGATGATGATTTGTGCTCGTTAACGATTACTCGCGAACCAAACAACAGAGATGCCCAGTCTGGCGGCCAGCCGCGCCGACGACTAGCGGCCATCGCAAGGTCGAAACGCCGGCGCGGACCGAAACTACTGAACAGACTTTGAATTAGTGATCCAGTGTTACTACACGAAGTCCTTTGTTCCGTTACTTGTGCGAAGGCCAGCTCGGCGACCGTAAACCTGTTATGCTTACTGTCAACTCAGAGAGAAGCCATCAAGAATTTTCGGCGGTTTATAAAAGGTCCGAAACTGCCAGCAGTTGTCCATCTGGCAACAGCGCTCCTTCACTCCTCTCTCCCTTTCTTTGCAGTTGCAGCTCTTACGGTTCATTCATAAACCTCAACGCTCCCTCTTTTCAGGGATGCTTCCTCAAGCACTGTTGCTAGTCGCGCTTGTGCCGCTGAGCTCGGCGTTCCTGTTTGACCTCCTCAACCAGTTGGGCCTTGGCGGTGGTGGAGGTATGGGTGGTGGAGGTATGGGTGGCGGGTATTCTGCTCCAGCTGCTCCCATGTACTCTGCTCCAGCTCCTCCTGCCTACCCTCCTCCGCAACCAATGTACCCTCCTCCTGCACCGCCCTGTCAAGCACCACAACCACCACCGTACCATCCACCGGCTCCTCAACCAATGAAGCCTATGTATAATATGATGCCTCAACAAAATTACCAACCGCCTCAGCAAATGTATCACCCTCCACCTATGCCAAAGTATCATCCCCCTCCTCAGCCAATGTATCACCCTCCACCCCAGCCAAGGTATCAACCTCCTCCTATGCCGAAGTATCAGCCCCCACCACAGCCACGCTACCCTTCGCCACCACAACCCATGGGCTACGCTAAGCCACCCCCTCCACCACCTCCACCATCCGATGGCTACGTCAGTGGTGGCGGTTACAGACGACACAGGACTAAGAGGTGAGCGAGGTTCCCGAATTTGGTGCTCTTATGAAATAAGAAGGGTCTCTGTTCCAGATCCGATAAGCTCAACGAAATCAGCAGCGACCTCGAGTGCAACAATTCCATGCTTAAGAAGATCATGAAGAAGGTAAACGCCCACAAAGAAGTTCATTCTGAAGGACCCTAAACCCTACTGTACTGTTTCCAGGTAATGACCGACGACGAAGACGAATCGCGGACGAACATTAGCGCTGCCATCCGAGGAGCGGACGGTCAACTGGCCGTGTTCTGCACATCGGGCCCATCAAAGTTCACGATTTCGGCCAATGTCGAATTCTGTGCTGTGAAGAACGACAAACTTACTTGCTATGCTTTCTCATTCTAGAATTAGAGTTATGCTAGTTCTTTTCGCTAGATCTCTTTCGGAGAATAAATTTCTTTTCTGAATTTCGGAGAAAGGAATATTCCGAGAGGAAATATGAGTACATAAGTTCTTGGCAGAGACGAAAAAGTGAGCGATTT